GGCACGGGTGGCCCAGTCGTCTAAGGCGCTGCGATGTGCAGAGTTGCGTCCCTTGGGCACGCCAGAAACCTATGATTGTGGGTTCGAATCCCGGTTCGCCCCGATTATGTTTCTAGGTTGTCAGCACCATACCCGTGCTCGTGGGTTTCACCGAAGTGGTAAACGTCTGAGACCTGCATCACCTCGGGCTTTCCTCCCACATTAAGCTGACACGCCGTGATATAACTGGAATACTGTTAAAAGCGGCGGTAAACCGAACTCACTCACTCACTCTCTCACTGTAGTACACAGAGGGGTCATTTATCGAGCATGTCTGTGATCCCGGAGGTACACTACTGAGAACAGAACGTCATCTGGCGTGGGGGCCATCTTGATGTTTTAGACCTGTACATGGTGAAAACATATGATTGTTTTGTGTATCTTAACATGTTACTTCTCTCACTGACAATGTTGAAGAAGTTGCATTCCGACAAAGTGGGCCAACGTGTCTTAGTTCCATTACCGTCGAGACAAATTGTTCACGTGTGCATTGATTCGTTTTCACAACACAACCGAGGTTCTTCATGTGATTAATCCCGAAGCAATAAAATAACAGTAAACAAGTAATGGTCCTGACTTAATTTGAAGATGTGAACAGAAACATCATTTGTAGGGAGATAAGACCACTAACGGGAAGTTCAACGCTTTTTTATTAATAATTACGAAATTGATTACATGTAACTTCTTTGAGTGGCATTAAGAAGTTGGAATGGTAACTAAGACAAAATTGTTATGGATGAGCAACTTCTTTATTACATTTCGGCGACGTTTCGGTGTAGATTCTAACACCGTTATCAAGCAAATGATGTACAAACTAGGTATGAGCATGATATATATATATACATAACAATAGATAGATGTTTAGCGTCAGCATCTGCAACATATATACATAACAATAGATACATGTATCTATCTATCTATTGTTATGTATATATATATATATCATGCTCTTACCTAGTTTGTACATCATTTGCTTGATAACGGTGTTAGAATCTACACCGAAACGTCGCCCAATTGTAATAAAGAAGTTGCTCGTCCATAACAATTTTGTCTTAGTTGATTACATGTGTTTGAAACCTCGTTTCTCAAGAGAGACGCTTGTGTTCACATAAAATACCATGATAATATGACAGTTGTGTCATATCTGACAAATATCACATTTCACCACTTTTTGATCCTTCACACAATGCACGTAACATGTGCTCTTTTGATTTCTGAACAAGCCCCAGCGTTTTAACACCCTACAAAGCGAGGCCCGATACGAGTGTTTACACAAACCTCCCCTGTGACCAAAATGATAACTTCAAAACAAACACAACCTAAACCGGAAAATTACGTCCCTTACTTCTAAAGGCTATTCCTTTTATCCTTTGGTCATCGTAGAGATTAGGAAGCGATTGCCTCTCGGATAATCACCATATTTGGGATGGTCTCCTGAAGTTTGCTACCATGACAAATGCCAGTGTATTTGGTTATGTGATTCAAAGCATTAGTTGACTCAGAGGTTCCAGTCTTTGAGACAAAGACCGAGGTTTAGCGTTATGTTCGAGCACACAGATGGAGACCCGTGTCATTAACACGAGGAACGCATGAGATGGGACAATTTAATAAAGCAAGCATTTAAAACAGACGGAACAGCGCAACGTGACAGTCAGTGTCTGAAGCTCTGGGAGAACGGACCTCTAAGTAGATATTTGGACAGAGCGAGCTGGGTTGTCTTGGAGTAGCTTACAAAGTATGTATACAGTGTTCATTGTATCGTTAACTTACTGTTAGATTTCTCTTTCTGACTCACGATATATGTGACATTTATGATTCAGATGTTTTTAATCCCCAACTGTTTAACGGTTCGTAGCAACGCTATACGTGCTGTTTTATTAAGTAATGTCTCTCATTAACAGCGAACTGACACACACGGTTAGATTATGCTGTAAACCAACGCTTGAATTATTTCTTATTCTGTAGACAGGGTTTCCATATTTATGTGTGTAATGTATTTAGGTGTGTTACTACACATTTTAAATTAGATTAATGTCAAAGGGGAATACAAGGCTTTAAAGAAAATACTTGGAAGTCTTCAAGATTGAACAGCACAAAATAACTCGCTAGGATTATATCCCATCTAGACCAAGAAAACGTAAGCTTTATGGGTAACAACTGGTTTATTGCATATAGCGAGGTTTCGATGTCGATTCTTACACCGTTATCAAGCCGGAGTGATAACGTTTTTCTAACTTCCTACTAACTTTTAGATTGCAAACCAAACACCCATCCAGTCCCAATACCCCTATTTATTTATAGAAAATATAAGTGTGTGTCGTTGAACATTGTCTTTATTTGGCTTAGACATTGTAACTTACGTTGCATGTCATTTCTAAGACTATCATATATCGACCAGCGCCAATTCGACAGATTAACCCGTGTGTAGCACCCAAGGCAAGTAAATCCGCCTACCGCTTGCATGGCATTGATCGTGTGAGGTTACGTTAAAGTGATCAAGTGGGTCACACATCACCTTGTGCTTGTTCAACATGTCCTATGACACAATCTCAAATAGCTTGACCAGTCTATTGTTGACCGCTAGCCAAGCAAGACCAAAACGACCTAGACGCATTACACAATGACCCTTGTGCTGGTAGACGCTTATGGAATGTTACCGAAAACAATCTTGCTTGAGAGTAACACTGACCTTCGTGGCTGTTTCATTTGTTCAAACCGAAGGGTCACGAACTGGTCGGGATAAATCTCAATCTTAAAAGATAAGGGAACTGAATATATTTACGCTTGGGTTCACTCTTATGCAATGTAGTTAGGGTGCTGAATAGAGAACCATGTTGGTGTGAGATAGGAATCAAGGTTGTGACCTTGTTTTCAACAAAACTATGCGGTGTTTGCCATACTGATTGATTCCTGGCCTATAAACCTCGGGACTTGACACGTGACATGTTTTTTATCTGACAGGTATGTAGTCAAACTGTCTATCAAAAGATTTCGTTCTTAGTTAAGACGAGTGTCAACACCGATACAGTAACTATACCGGACGCATGGCTTCATTTAGTCGGTGCCGATCAACAGTGTCGATCTCTTGACCGTTATCCGTTTCATCAAATCAATATATGTATTTCCCAACATTGCAGAGTTGCGTCCCTTAGGTATGCCAGAATGCTCAGATCTTGGGTCCGAATCCCAGATTCGAACCGGTTATGTTTCTGGTTGGTTATCATCATGTCGGCGCTCGATGGTTTCAGCAACATGGTAAACGTCTGCATAACTGCATACTTTTCCGACATCAAGTTGCCACGCCGTGATTTAACTGAAATACTAATAAGGCGGCTTTCATCCTTACACACAAGTGGTATTGACACTTACACACAACACCTGAGCTATGCTACGTCGAACTTGGAGTAGGCATTTATCAACAGTGTAAAATAAATCTACGCCTTCATATCAGCTGTTCAATGACCAAGGTGACGGTTTCAGGAAGTGGTCACTAACGAAATATCCACATGGCATTGCTATTGTGACCACACAGTTAACTCAGTGGACATTAAAGATCTAGAATCTACTTCGGGATACAAACAGCATAAATTAATTTAATTTAAAACTTCGAAATCAAAATTGATTTTGGGTAACGGTGATAAGGCTTGTTATTTTTAATCATTATTTATTCACGTTATCCTTGCACCTCGGTTCGAATCCTAGATTCTCCCTGATTATTTGTAAGCATTACACCCGTGTGTTTCACCAAAGTGTAACACGTTGAAGATCTCATCACTTCGGACCTTCACCCCACATCAAGCTGACAGACTTGATATAGCTTGAATACTGTTCAGAGCGGCCTTAAACAAAACTAAACTTTTTCGACGGAATTTCGAAACGAGGTAGCACGTAGGTCATGACAACTGCCTGCTTAGCAGTACATCTCAGTGTTAATTACACTTACAATCTCCTCACCCTCATCAGTACCCCCTAGGGGACAGCCCCCACCCCACAAGGACATTCTCTGATCGATCGCCCTGTCCCACGCGTTATGTAACCAACGCCTCCAGACATTATGACGTGCTCAGATAGATAGATATACCCACCTGTCACCCTTCAGTATACTTACACTCACCTGAGAATACCTGCAATTACCTGGACACACCTGGGGAGTTTATTTCACACATTTGAAGGTAATATCCTTTTTTTGTATGTAATAACAACCTTTTGCTTTATCTGCTGTGGTGAGTTTATATTTTAGTTTAATTGATGATATCGTTAATACTGCTTCATGAAAGGTATTAAACGTGTATATCATGGTGAGCTGAGATAACAACACAAGGGCTCGTTCGTAGTTGCAAGCAGTATTCCTAACTTTGTTAATATTTAAAACGACAAGCCAGAGAGCACCATCTCTTTTTCTTCCTCACTTTGTTAATGTTTAAAACGGTGAGCTACATACTCATAAGAAAATGAACATTAAAATTTTCTAAATATTTAATAGAAACGAACGTTAAAAGCTGTATGTCTATGTAGGAGACAGCAAACTTTGTTCAATTCAAATATTTCAAATTATTAATAGAAAAAATTCTCGTACGTAGACGCAACATTCTTCCCAGATCCATAAAGAAGGTATTGTGGAAACAATCACAAGGCCCCTTCCCACCGAACTTACTCGCCTAACCAGAAACTACGTGATAATTTAAACCACTCAGGGTGACACACAATACTCTCTTGAGACACGATACATATATATTGTACATTGTACACAACTTTGATTATGGGTCTTTGACGCTTAAAACTAGTTATATTTGTTAATAACAGTAAACTTGTATTAAACCCAAACCGCTTTCAGCCTTATACCACTTAAATAAATGTCTGTCAATATTGTGAGAATATGAACGCGGGGTTTTTCACAAGATGTCTCTCATCTAAAAAAACCTCAACGGAGTGTCAATATTCGTTATCATCTCGACCAGCGCAAGTCGGTGTAGATGTCTTGTTAATGTATTTGCACACTAACACCGCCACCTCCAAGGTAACGATGTCACATGTACTGTTGAATGGCGGGCAGCTATGTTGGGACGGATTTGTTGCTGTGGTCAGTTAGGGTCATCTGACCATCGTAAACACCACAGAACTACAATCAAACGTCGAAAAGGTAATTGTCCATTATTTTCGGGTGGATACATTTTATATCGCTAGCAAACAGACTTCGTTATTTTTGCAGGTGCCTTGAACGGGGTCGAAAGGTTATGTGTTGTTAAAACTAAACGGTCCTCTCTTCTTGTGAACATATTGTTACTGTGGTATTCTGGGTATTGGGGTATATGTATATATTTTTTAAGATTAACAACAGGGTATTTATGAAGATATTGCAGAATTTCTGCCTCTGTTTTATGAAACTAGAACAACGCTCAGCAACAGTGTGCGGTTAATACTCTGTTAATCCGTTAAGCCACATGATGGCATAGTTAATCAAGTCTTATCGTGAACCAAGTAGTATTATGTTGTACTGCTGCCCCTGTCCCCGCTATGACATTGCTTTAAACGTGGACATAGTTATTTCCATGAGTTACACTTAAGCAACTTAGTCCTCATACAAAACTAATTATGTATAAACAAAGTAAGTCAATCGCTATAATGCCATATAACGTAAATACAGATAAAAATCTTGATGATGATCGTAATGATAAACCCTACTTATCGCTTCGTTACACATACCAATGGTAAAACTATAATAAAGGTCAGTTGAATATAGCTATTACAAATGCTTATTTGGTAATACAATACTGGATTAAAGGTTTCATTGCTTGATGTCGCCTTCATAAAGAAACTTTGTATGGATTGCAATGTCCTTGTTCGCGATTTTATATAGGAAGTGATTACAATTATGTGGTTATGATGACCACTATTTTGATTTTTAAGTCCAATGGAGACTGATTATTCTCTGACGTTGATGTTTATAAATGTATCAGGTGTTTAACCTATCTGACATTGTACCCCGATGGCGTGGAGCGTTTCTTATCCTGTTTAGACTCACTACGGTCCGTCATGATATTACTGCTGCAACGTAAAATAAAATATAGCTTCATTCTCTCATACATTCCTTCAGTACAGATCTCGCGTTGTGAGTTGGGGCAAACAGTGGTGTATCATGTCTTCAGCGCATCTCGGAGGCTCGAGACCCGTGTTTGCTCTATGGGCGGTGAGTCTGTACATCCGACTGTGATTGGGTGGGACTCGCCGAAATTTTCATGGATATGTGTAGGACAGTGTTGTATTCATGCATCGCCATTTATCTATACGGCAGGCTCGGTTATGTGTGATGACATCAGAAGAGGGACTGTCACTTGTCAATAAAAGTGACGCATCCCTTTCCATATTCATATGCAATCTTTGCCACTGTCGATTGTCAATGAATGAGTACAGTGTATTAAGCTTCAGCGAAGGTCACATTTAGCATGCCTCCCAACAAATACGAAGTTAAATTTGATGTGCAGATGTTGCAAATGTTGACAAGCATGATGCTTACTCAAGGAGTGGGCCTTAGATACCAGTGCAAAAGTTACATATAATGATGAAGAAATTGTCTTAATAATCCTAATAAACATTTTTTGGTTTGTTGGTAAACGCCGTACTCAGCAATATTCCAGCTATATGACGGCGGTCTGTAAATATTCGAGTCTGAACCAGTAGATCCAGTGATTGACATCATGAGCATCGATCCATGCAGTTGGGATACAATGACATGCATCAACCACGTCAGCGAGTCTGACCACGCGATCCCGTTAGTCGCCTCTTACGACAAGCATAGTCGCCTATATATATTTAACAGTAATCGCCCAGAGTGATGGGCTCCAGGACTAACGGGATCCCGGACCAACGAGTCACTGTCTAGTATTAATATACAGTCTTGTTCATTCTCATCCTCGACCATCCAATGTATAATATTATAATTATTTTTTTAATATACCGGGACCCATTTGTTTCGGAAGTGACCTCATCAGGGTGTCACTCGATCATCAGGCTAATTTGATTGGACGGGTAGAGTTGGATTCGGAGATATACATACCCTTGATAATTGAAGATGGTTCACTCTTAGCTCACCACTTTCAATATACAAGTGACCAGCCCTGTATTTCATAATCAAATAATTTATTACAGCTCCTTTCCACATCCGACAACTAATAAATAAAATTATATAGAAATATATACACACATAGGTAAACACATAGATCTACACCCATCCACCCACCTTTCATCGTGATAAAAGTTGTTTATACATGCTAAGACACGCCCCTAATAGATCATGTTCTTGTTTCAGCTGCCCGTAGCACCAGATCTAGTCAGAAACAAGTCCGGTTCAACCTAGCACCCAAAATGCCGCCTTCAGGAGAAACACCACCCCCTCCCGAGAGACTCTACCCAGATCTGACCCAGTTCTACTTCAGCGAGGGGCTACAGTTCGGCCCCCAGCAGACCCCAGCGGAACCCACCTCCCCCTACCAAACCCTGCTCCGCCCAGACTACCCCTTGTACCCAGAACTAACACAACTCAACATCACAGAAGAGGAGGTCCGGGAAATAGACCCTGACTACCCGACGGATAATTCCAACGAGGATGTGGAAGTCATAAGCTGTATAGCCCCTGACTATGACCTGGAAGATGCAAGGCAGAGGGGCTACACCGTGAGGGTGAATATGAACAAAGTAGAAAGGAAGGTTCTCAATGATAAGACATTCGAGTTCCTTCCATCAGCCATACATCCTAAAGCCCAGCATGAGTTTCACTCCTGGATGAAGTGGCGTACCCAGGTCAACAAACAGCTCGTGGCAATGATCCTTATAAAGCATGGTAAGAAGGTCATTGTGAGATCATCGGAGCTGGAAAGAAAACCTCTGTCTACCAATACCATCAGATCCGTTATAGATAATGCTCATTCTTGTCAAAGACTCGCCCATACTGGTCTGCCTGGCAAACCCTACATCATGTACGGTATCCCACGGGTCCAGCTACCCAGCAGAACACATCAGGTATGCATGTAGGAAAGAGTGACCCCACAGGACGGGTTTGATGTGCTATATAGAGGAACATGTTAATACGTTCATGCATGTTTTGTGTTTGTAATTTATGATGCCAGTGCTTTCAGTACATTCTCAATCAACGAGTGTCGTTTCAAACATTCTGAAAATGCCCCACTGACATTTGGTTCTGGTGCTTCTGCAACATGTCCCATGATTCCTGGAAGTTCCAAGAACTTCAAAATATATATTATATACACCAGAACGCTGGAATGGTTTGAAGGAGGATTTGCTTGACGACACTGCAGTGCAATGAAACAGTTTTTCCGAATCGGAATGTCAATTTGCTGGACCCGCTTGTGTTCTCTGTGATGATTCCTACTCTGAAAGGCACCATAGCTACCATTCGAAATGTAAATCCATATTCTGATCTGAAGGTCCAGATATCCAACGTAACTGACACCAAATATGCACTCTGGCAGGAGTGGCAATCGTCAAACTTCAATCCCCAACATCCCCATTCCCTGTTTCTATATCGCCATGGACTTCTATGTCCAGGTGTCCTCATTCACAAGGTTGTGCTGTACAGAGAGTCTGTGAGTGTATGTGTGTCCTAGTCTACGGGATTGTAGGGGTATTATATTGTATAACCATGTATATAGTAGTGTCACATGTCCTATATCATATTGATGCTGAACAAAAGTGAGTTTACACTGGTTTGAGAACGTTAACACACACATGAAGGGTTTACAGTAAAAACACACTAAACCCATGAGATCATGGAAAATAAACACTAAACCCATGAGATCATGGAAAATAAACACTTAACCCATGAGACCATGGAAAATAAACACTAAACCCATGAGATCATGGAAAATAAACACTAAATCCATGGGATCATGGACAATATATCCTTTGTCATATCCATCGGCTAAATTGCTAACAATCCTCTGAAACATCATTAACCATTTATTAACGCGATAAATCGTTGTGTATATAAGTGTCGTAAGTCAAACATGATATCTATCTAATGTTCTACGATGTTTGACATGATGTTGTTTAATAAATTTTCCATACTTTATCGGCGAGCTCTTCCCAAACATGCAGATAACATGTAAAACATGGTGACATATTCTCAAAAGGTTTTGTACCTCAATGTTCCGTACGTTATCTTCGTCAACTCATCATTTATAAATCAAAATCGGCGAAGGTGAAACTAGTTTTGACAGACATACAAAGCGTACAGCATTCTCTGAGGAATCGCCAATTCTATCCATATATATCTCCGATCAGATGGACACATTTTTGTTCAGCATCTCATTGTCTTTGAAATGTACATTGTGTTCTGAGAATACCCTTACATACTTGCTTCATTTCATCATTGCCATGATCATTGTATCCATATTTTGATATATATATATATATATTGTATGCTTTAAAACACTGAGAAATTCCATTACAGAAATGTGAATTGACAGGTGTGATGCGTTTTCTGTTTGACGTTCACACCGATACAAATGTGAAATAATTATTTGAATACAAAATAAATTAATTTAAGTATAATGTTGTGTTTCATTTAATTTGAAAAATTATAATTATAAATAATTGATTGTACTTTCATAATGTGCATTTGCGATAGATCGTGACATGATGTTTGTTTGTCCAAATACGGATTCGGCCCTTCTCAGAAATATATAAGGGGTAGGGTAGTGTAGTGTAGTGGTTTAAGCGTTCGCTCATCACGCCGAAGACCCGGATTCTGTTCCCCATATGGGTACAATGTGTGAAGCCCATTATTGGTGTCTCCCGCCGTGATATTGCCAGAATATCACTCACTCGGAACTATCCCTGCAAGGTGACAATGTGACACTGAGTTTTCACGAATGTGATCCCGGATTAGAAGAGGCCTCAAGTGGGGTGAGGTGGGGTGAGGTGGGGTGAGGTGGGGTGAGGTGGGGTGAAGTGAGATTTATCGTCGCGTTCAAGATTTTGCACACACAGCGACGTTCAAGTAATCTATGCTTGACGAAAGAGACTTCTAAATGTTTTGTTGTTTGTTGTTGTTTAACGCCGCACTCAACAATATCCAAGTATATCATGGCGCACTGTAAATATTGGAATCTGGACCAGACAATCCAGTGATTGACATCGATCCACGCAATTGGGATCCGATTAACCAAATCAGCGAGCCTGTCCACCCTATCTCGTTCGTCGCCAACAAGCAAGGGCTGCTCAAGACCAATTCTAACCGGAATCTTCACGGGTGTGCACTAATATCTTGTCTTAATAACACATATCCACACATGATCTAACTCAGGGAGCCGCCAAATGGCTAGTTTCGTTGAGGTCGCCGTCCTATAGCTGGAATATTGCCAACTGTGGCGTTAACAACAATCAAAACAAACGTGTTCTCGACCAGATCGTCACATAAATAAGCTTGAGTGATCGACCAACCAATCCTAACTTTTTGAACATCATTTTAGGAACATCTAGGCACTGTTATCATGAAGGTACTCGAACCCGGTATTAGGCATGATGAGCGAACACCTAAACCACCAGTCCCCGAATGACTATTGAAAAATTTGAACGCACCCCCCAAATAACACAAAAACCCTGACTAAACATTCGGTCATCTTGAAAGTACGAATATGTCGAACTCATCCTTTCGACACAACGGTATTTTATGGAACACAAAAGGGGATGGCATTTGTGATTGTATAAATATCTCTCACCCCAAGCGTCACATTGCCAACAGTTAATTATCAAACTCATTCAACTATTGAATAAATCAGGACACTTAAAAACAAGAATCACAATACAACACATGTACATGATCCACTATTCTTGTACACGATTCTGACACCCACTCCATGTGTATCTCACGACCTCTAACCTTGTACACGATCCTGACACCCCACTCCATGTGTATCTCACGACCTCTAACCCTGTACACGATTCTGACACCCACTCCATGTGTACTCACGACCTCTAACCCTGTACACGATTCTGACACCCACTCCATGTGTATCTCACGACCTCTAACCTTGTACACGATTCTGACACCCACCCTTTGTGTATCTCACGACCTCTAACCTTGTACACGATCCTGACACCCACTCCATGTGTATCTCACGACCACTAACCGTGTACACGATACTGACATCCACTACACTTGCACGTGATCCAGGGACTGAGCCAGTGAATGTAGTGTAAGGCCGCATTTATGTTCAAGCTGCATTTACGTCTGTATGCATATCGACGCGCAGTGATGTCATCTTATGAACCAGGCCATAGGTTGTGACCACCGATCCAAATTATAGTCCGCTCATTTGTTGTTTGTTTGATGTTTAAAGCCGCACTCAGCACTATCCCATCTAAATAATCGAGTCTGTTCCAAACAGTCCAGTGATGACATGAGCATCGATCGAGATTGGGATACATGCATCAACCAAGTCAGGCAGCCTGGCCACCCGATCCCGTAAGTCACCTCTTACGACAAGCATGGTCGGCTTTTAGGGCAAGCATGGGTTGGTGAAGACCTATTCTACCCCGGATCTTCACGGGTAGTCTGGTCATAAGGCGATCATGGACTACTGATAGTACTTCCCTAGAACCATCTCGCCGTTCAGAGATAAGAAGCACGTCCCTGTAACTGTACATCCATCATTTCTATTTCGATATATACTACTCAAAAAAGGTATGACAGGACAGATTAACTTAGTAATATGAGTGAGTGAGTATGGTTTACGCCGCTTTTAGCAATATTCCAGCAATATCACGGCGGGGTTACACCAGAAATGGGCTTCACACATTGTTCCCCCCGAGTCTTCGGCGTGACGAGCGAACGCTTTAACCACTGGACTGCCCCACCGCCTCTTATAATAATATGAAAGAATCGTTGGTCTTTTTTTTTAATAGTAGTATATTTTGATAACTAATTGAATAAAACCAAAATCAGATTCAGTTATGATACATTTATTATGCATAGACATTGTGTTTATCGTAAATTCATGGAGATGCAGTGAACAACAAATTCAATGGCAGGTGTTCCACTTCTACGTCACACCTAACTATTATAACGACATCAATCTCGACATGTATACAGCTTTGTGCATGGGAACATTTCCGCTCCAGCAAGTACCGTCCTTCTGAATATATGCATGTCTCTGCAGATGAGGTAGCAATGACGACGTAGCCATATTCCCCGAGGGCAACGGATACAACACAACTAATTTGAACAGGAAAACAATGAGCAATCCTGTTTGTTTTATCACACACTTCTAAGCATTTCCTCTCATGTCAATCTTAACTCACCGAGGCGTAGTATAATGACATCTCATATTTATGTGTTCCGTAACCTTTTGTGTCGGCTGCAGTCTGGATGTTTCAAAATGTGGAAATGAGTTAAACGAGCTAATGAGGATGCATGAATATGGTGCAAGGTTATATGGTATGTACTCTGTGACTGTCCGTGTTTTCTATTTAGTGTTAATGGATATGATAAGTAACTTATCGTAAAGATCGTTATAAAATGTTTTAACAGCTGTAAAACACACAAGTCTATAATTTTGTATTTTAAAAGCTTATCAGGCAGACTTACATTCTGTGTTTTAACATTTGAATCCTTGACTTGCCTTAGCACGGTTTTGTGAAGGATACCACCGGCGGTGCAGGATACGCTAACCTTATCTCGAACACGTGGTACCATCACTAATTGATCGGAATCGTAGTCTGGACTGTTTAGCAGAGATTTTTTATGATTATAGGAAAAGGTGTTGTCGCATTAGAAACTGTTCAAACAAGGACATAATCTGAGTAAGATATACAAAACCCCACTACGTTGTTGAGAATGTTGACTGTGCACGTGCACTGCCGTTCAAAAGAATGTATACACACATATTTGTTTGTCGGTGACTAAAAAGGAAACAAGCAAGCTTTTTTCATTTTTTTGACATTTCATATTTTTTTTCGCTTTGGCGGAATCACAAACCAAGTTTTAAAAGTCTGGTCTATTGGACATAATAATGTTTTATCATCCCACGAGTTACAAAAGAGAAATTACCAACACTATCTGACATTCATCAATCCTGGAATAACCTTGACCGTGACACATTTTAATACCACAATAATCATGTCGTGTTTTAATTTGTCTTCCACTTCTATATGCCACTCAAAGAAGTTCCACTTCATGTTGACTCAGACCCCTTTGATATGACAGAGTATAAATAATGATTATAGATTATTGACGTTATGATATATGTAAGAGGCGGTAGGGTAGCCTAGTAGTTAAAGCGCTCGCTCGTCACGCCGAAGACCCGGGTTCGATTCCCGACATGGGTACAAGGTCTGAAGCCCATTTCTGGTGTCCCCCGCCGTGGTATTGCTAAATATTGCTAAAAGCTGCGTTAAACCACTCACTCACATATGTAAGCTTGACAGTATTTCTAGGTCCCCTTTGCGGACCTGCCATTGTGTTCCTACTCCATTAGTTGGTCATTCATTGATCAAACAAACATAACTGCTTCGTAATGGTGTACCGACTAACATTACACTTGGAAACGAGGTCCCTCAAACGCGTCATATATATATATATACACCACCGATATAAAGCGACTAATTCTAATCACTGTCAAAGAAATTGTGTATCAACGCGACCTCGTTATTCATTGACAACGGTCGCTTGGAATGATAAAACACGTCTTACCGGCGTCCATCAACCTTGACATTGACCGACTATGTGGAAGCCATAAAAGACAACATTAAATCTCGATCTGCCTATCAAATGACGTAATGGCGGGCTAAGTCCCCCTCCCGACCACGCAATACATCACATTGTCCCCGCTGTGTGGTTTGGCTTCTTAATGCATGGCTTGGTCCCCAGGGTTACCACAGCCCATGGCTGGAGGCTGAGACACGTAATAGATGGTTGTAACACAGCTTGTGTCGCCAGTTTCTTGGGAAGGGCAGGATATTTTCACTTCGCAGTGATTTATTGTAAATTTATGTGAACAGTTTAATATTTTTTGTAACACGTCTTATAATTCGGTAGATCTTTGTCACCCAACGTGTCAATTATTTTTGTCAAATGACCACAAAAGAAGATTTAAATGTGCAGTTATGCATAATTTAAATACTCACAGTAAATAATATCTTATTTCTTGGTAACTTAGATCTAATGCCGTCATTAATACCGTGATTTATTGTTAACTCTAGAAGAAAGTAACCTGTGAAGCTCCGGGGTAGAATAGGTCTTCAGCAACCCATGCTTGCCGTAAAAGGCGACTATGCTTGTCGTAAGAGGCGAATAACGGGATTGGGTGGTCAGGCTCGCTGACTTGGTTGATAATGTCATCGTGTCCCAATTGCATGGATCGATGCTCATGATGTCAATCACTCTATTGTTTGGTCAAGACTCGATTATTTACAGAGCGCCGTAGCTGGAATATTGCTGAGTGGGACATTAAACAAACAAACAAACAAACTAGAAGAAAGAAAGACTATTAATATAAAATGTATGTGGTAAAAGTCAAACTCTTATTAAAATGGCAGTCATGTCGTATTTG